GTGAATATGGATTGATTTTATGGTTAGGATTAAATTAATTTAGTGATATTGTTTTGTTAAGTTTGTTAAAGAACCTTATGTGTTAATTACAACTATTTTCAGTTAATAAACCAACATATTAAGTTGCATGAACATCTCTTAATTGCTAATTTCGTATGATTTATGTGAGAACATTGTTATATGTCTAGGAATAGCGAATGTCAAACTATGGTTAACTAGAAAATAGATAAATTAATGTGTAAGCTTGTGTGACGAACCATCAACAAGAGGTTAATTGAACAACCAATGTAATTAACCATTACAAGTCTTACTTAACCCGAACCAATAAACTAGGAAATTCATTAATTTAGACAACTGGTCAATGCTTGAATTAATCTGTTTTCTAAGGATTAGTAATAGCGAATGTGAACCTAATCACCTTAATCGGTAGCCAAAGAAAAATCAATCCAATGCATTTACCATAAAATTAACCATATGATCAAATGATTCGAAACTAAACAGAAGTCCTCTTTATCATTGAATTTAGTTGCATTGTATTTGCTTAGTTGTTAAATGTTTTCTTTAAGTGTTAGTTGAATATTTAAGTTTCTAGTCTTGCAAAACTAGAGAAAACCCCATTTTATTACTTGTTTTTATTTAGATAATCCTAGTAGTTAGTCTTATAATTACCATTCCCTGTGTTCGATACCCTGCTTGCTTAAACTATACCACCAATTGACAAGTACACTGTCTATTGTGTGTCTAATTTATATTAAAAAAGAAGGATAATACTAGTTAGTTTCACACACATCACAGATCAATTAAACATTTGCTTTTAGTTCCATCTTCCACACCTAAATACACCAACTTCTTACTTCGATCGTCAAGCTTTTTCAGGTGACCACCTACAAATTTAGCAAAAACAACACAACCAAAAAAATTTAGATATTCAAGGTTGGGCTTTTTGCCAAACCATGCTTCATAAGGCATCTTGTCAGGAAGTGCTTTTGTTGGCAGGCAGTTGAGAAGATAAACTGCATGTCTAACCGCTTCTTCCCAAAACTCTCTCGGGACATTTCTTCCTTTGAGTAAACTTCTTGCCATGTCCATAACGGTCCGATTTCGCCTTTCTACAACCCCGTTTTATTGAGGCGAATATGGTGTCGTAAGATGCCTTTGAATACCATTTCATTCAAAAAATAATGAGAATTCTTTTGAATTGAACTCTCCCCCTCATTCTGTTCAAAGTGTCTTCATTTGATAGACCGAATTCTTTTCAACCATCAACCTAAACAATTTGAAAGCGCTCAAGGCTTGAGACTTCTCCGATAGCATATAAACCCACATCCACCGGCTAAAATCGTCTACTAAAAGGAGAAAATATTTACTCCCTCCAATAGACGTAGGTATGATCGGACCACATAAGTCCGCATGAATAAGTTGTAGAGGTTTTTGAGCCCAAAAAACTGCGTGATCCAGGAAAAGAATTCGGGTTTTTTTGGAAAGAACGCACCCTTCACATACTTGGTTTGGGTGCTCAATCTTTGGGACTCCGATTGCCATAATCTTTTCGGACAACTTCTTTAAGACGAGTTAGTTAACATGACCGAGCCTAGAATTACATATCTAAGTTAGTTCGTCTTTTGTTGCTAAAAGACAAGTTGGACAACTTCTTTTTGTTATTCCTTTGGAGTTATGAACCTAGGTTGCCATTTTAGAAGCTATTTCACTAAAAGAAGCCCTATGAGTGTTGCATGAGTGTAAAGGTTGAACCTTTATGTGATTATTGTGTATTGGAAGATTACAAAGCTTACGAGGATAGCTTTCAAAGTAAGAATTAACTTTTCCCACTTCACCCTATGAAAATCTTTTAGAACCCATATCACAGCTTTAATTTATTCTTAGTAGTAACTCCATCGAAGAAAGTGAGGAAACCATTCATTTCGAAGAAAGAATAGACATCTCTACCACAATCACTAGCTACAGGTAGGCTGATTCAGCAAACTTCCTCTTTCACCATATCCACAGAAACCAAGTCATTCGTACCTTGGATTCTCCAATGCATATACATGCCTTCAATTGAAACTGTATCACCCCAAATATACTCCCCTAAATCCATATAAGGCATTTGGATCTTTTTCCACTTTGCGACGATACCTATATCTCTTCCCAAGATATTTCAGAATTGGGAAGATATGATCCTTCATTGGTGGTTAGATTTAAAACATACAAATACACTTTTCACAAGGGAATTGATATCAGAAGAAACTCGTTACACCAATGTTGTATCCCGCCTGGCGAATCTATTTCAAGATATTGTTCTTTCACTTTTATCCCATCTTCTTCTTCCCCTATATCCACAAGTCGATAGGGAGTTTGTTGTTGGTGATTTTGATCATCAATGTTATTTAAGTGCAATGAGATTACTTTGTGTTGACCAAAAATGATCTTGATAAATATTAAACATGTAAGGAAGGTGTGGAGTACACACTTGTTTAAGTTTGATCAAGTTTCAAAGTACACTGTCATTTAGGGGCGAAGCCCCTGAACGAAAGGGGGTCCGGGGGCAGCGCCCCTGGGAGCGGGGTCCAAGGGGCAGAGCCCCTGGCTGGTTTTTACTATATTAAAAAATGCATCAAAAAATTGATTTTTCAGATAATTGACCATTGGTTTGACCCTTATCCATATATCCGTTTTATGACAATTTTTATGGTTTTATGACAGTTTAAAACTGTCATATGACAGTTTTCAGACAAAGTTGTTAAAGTTGGTTTTGGTCTTTTTTTTTTTTTTTTTTTCCGGGTACATACGAAAATATCATCAAACATTCTTGGTTCTTGTCTCTCTGAGTCTTATCCAATTGAAGATTTGGGAGTACCACCAAATACTTCGATTTGAAAGTGATAATCACAATTATCAGAATTTCCAAGCCTTTCTACACCCAAATTTCTAACATTTGTTTTGCAGATTCTGTAGGATAAAAGAAGCATGGTCTTGCAAGATCCTGTTGGAGATTATATCGAACCATAGCCTACAGACATACTTAACCTTATAACGAAGGAAAGCATCAGGAACCCTTTTGAGGATTTCTAAATGGATGTCATCTGGAAGAAAGTAAAACCAGTCAACCTTCTTTCTCTCTTCATCTTAGATTCTTTCTTTGCTATCTCCATCGACTTATTCTGTTCCAAAATAGTATATATTTCCTTAGCTTCTTGTAATTACCAGCAACATGATGAAGAAATTAACAACTATGCACAATTAAGGGTGCATGCATGAATTTTGTGTCTACTTATAATTATGTTGGTTGAAAACGAGACTAATCCATAACAAAATTCATGTGTTTTTATTTTGGATCAACAATGTGATGTGAGGCATAAGCAAAATTGTCACATTCTAAAATCCTAACACATAAGTTATTACCTTTTACCGGATTTTCTTGGAGCTACTAACTAGTGTATAATACTTCTAGAAAAAACAAAAATTACTACGTGTCGCATTTTTTGACAATTCAGAGTAATGTCAGCCAAAAATCCAATAAAGAAACTGATTTTGGTTTGCTTGATTTGACTATAGAAATGGATTGTATCACCAGATTGAGGCTATACATGATATATCAGTGGTCAGAAGCAGAATTGATCTCAAGTTTCTCATATTGTTAAATTTTCATGAGGCTTGCATCTTTTCCAAAAAAATATATTGTTATTTTTTTTACAAAAAAACTACACCGGTGTTTGAAAATATAACTGAAAAACTTACATATAGATGCCCAGAACCTCCGTTAATACAAAGCTAAACCACAAAAAACTCAAGTGTATGTTTATTCTTGCTGTAAATCTCTTTATTGATTTCCAAATAAATTATACACAAAAGCAATCCAAACCCAAAGCTTAATAAAAACTAGTGGGATAGCCCAAGCGTTGCATCGGGCTTATTAATCATACATTATCAACACTGTTTTTGTAATGTTCTCTTACATGGGGACCATTTATATAATTTCTGTGAAACACATGGACAATTTCTGCAAGTTTGCTTTTAGGCAGAAACCATTATGTTATATCACTTTTAGGAATGGACTATTTCTGTAACTGTGTGAGACAAAAGGATCATTTCTGTAATTTTGCTATTAGGCGGGGCCATTTCTTTAATTTTATTAAACATAAAGACCGTTTATGTAGCTTGATGAACCATAGGGACCATTTCTGCAGTTTTTTTAAAACACGTAGAACATTTTGTGAAATATGAAAGACTGATGGTTTTTGTGAAGTAACAAACATTAAGTCTAATCTAGTATGCACAAAAATAAAAAATAAATAAATTAGTTTGACAAAAGTGCATAAACAATGAACTATAAAAATCACATAACCTACCCACAATTCACAACACAATTAAATTACAATAACATGCTACAAAATCACATATTGAAACAATAGACTACCTAAAAAACTAGGTTATTTTTTCTTTTTTTTCCCTACAAACATCACATCAGAATTTTAAGGTTTACAGAATCAGATGAATAAGATCGTATATTAGAGTTTTAGGGTTTATAAAATAAAAATAAAAAAGTGACAACTAGGTTAGAATTTTTTTTTTCAACCTTCTGTTGTTGAGTAAGTAAAAAAGAAATAAATGGAGAAGAGAAGAGAAGAGGGAGTAGTACCTCTGGTGTCCATTTGGGGCTGGTTTTTTTTTTAACTACCGACGTTAGGGCCTAATTTATATTATTAAATAGCTACATAAAATACATTTTAATACATACCGCAAATAAGTATTCATATTAAATGGCCACCTAAAATACATTTTAATATGTTATAAGCCATGGATCTATGAAAAATAAAGGATTTGGTGTGTCAACTAAAACAAGTAAACTAGTATTTCAGAAGCCGAAAAGGATGAACAAATGTCTTGGCTGAAAACCATATGATATATAATATATACTGTAGTTTCTACCAAAATAAAAAAGAAAAACACCACAAAATAAGGATTATATAAGGAGAGGATAGATATAGGCTTGTGGTAATACATCTATTCACTTATCAAACAACACAGACTTCCATATTAACATATACAAAAAAAAAAAAAAAAAAACTTTTCAAAATCTAATACACAGTGCTTCTTCTCAAACTAGCAGTTGCTTCCGTTAACGAACTCAAAATGGTCTCACCGACTTCACTCTTGCAAAGTGGACACGTGGCATTAATCTTCAACCATTTGTCAACACACTCCACGTGGAAGAAATGACAACAAGGCAACTCCCTCAATTCATCATCATTTGCATACTTGGCCAAACATATGCAACACACCTGTTGAGTAAGTTGAGATATATATATATATATATATATATATATATATATATATATATATATATATATATACTTTGTTAGGTTTCTTGCTTTCTCACTTAATGAGCTTAATCTGAACAGAATGACTTAACTCATTAAGCCAAAAAACCTGACTTGATGTATTAAGACGCTGACCCTTTACCTATTCTCTCACGTATATTTTTTTTTAAATACATTTATAAGCGTATAAAAGTTATTACATAGATATAATTATGAACTTCTTAATACATTTATAAGCGTATAAAAATTATTATTTCTACTTGCTTACAAGTTCAAACCTTTGCACTCACTTATAAGTTTATAAAAATACCTTTTAGATGTATCACAAAAAATATACAATATTATAACTTTTTAATCATAATAATATACATTAAAATTTTGCAAAAGCATTAAAAAATTACGGAAAAATATATAAGAGTTAACCGGTGCAACTACAAATTCCTGGATTTTTTTTTCAATTCAATGAAAATTAAATTTATGTGTATTCTTATGAGACAAAAAAAAAAAGATTTAAATTAATCATATTGTGGTTAAATATAATTACATGTGTATTACTGTTTATAGAAAATAAACTGTGATTTATTTAAAAATGGAAATCACCGTTTTATTAAATATCATTTCCAAACAGAAGGGTAAATTGGTCATTTATTCAAATTTAGCCATCGTTATATTGCGTTTGGCATGCATTAAGGTTTATTGTTTGATTAAGACCAGTATCAATGGGAGAAAGATTGCAAACTTTTGTGAGTGTAAAAGACATAAATGCCCTTGTAAACTTTTGTGAGTGTAAAAGACTAACCGCATCTTCTCCTGATATGGCACGTTCCTTTTCAGTTCCAGCAGCCACAATCCCACCTTCAGAGGTGCTACTACTACTAGAGTTGTTCTCTTTATCATTTTTATGTTTCTTGAATTTGTAAGTGGGAAGAGAATTAATGGACTCTGTAGTGGCTCCTCTATTTTGTGCAAGATCTTCTCTGAATCCCAACACAGATATTATACAAGGGAGACAACAGCAGATTGTGGTGCACAAGATGAATGGCATTGCATACCCGATACAACTAAAGGTAAGAAACACTATACACAACCTGTTTGTTATATCATACAACAACCAACAGTCAGCAGTGTAGTTTCATTTTGATTTCACAAAACTTTAGAAAAAAATATATATAATGGATTAATTGGCACCTGTACAAGTTGGGAGCTTCAGAAGAGGAAGAATGGCCTCCAAAGATCCACACATTTCCAACCACAAACCAGACTGCAAAGAAGCAATCCAATCCCATTTTGAAATATTCAACAAGCACTTTCACTCTGCAAACAACAAGTCCCATTTAGGGTTTTGGTGTATGATAAAATCACAAAAATAAAGCATAAAAAAGATGGAAAGAAAGAAAGAAAGTTGCATACCTTGCACTTAATGCTCCCATTGTGAGTCTTCTTGTAGATGTCACAGCAGTGTTCCGATTGTCCCCTTCCAAAATCCTTCCATTTGAAGATGAAGTGAAAGAACTTGCAATGGCAGACAGATTGCCAGGTGTCGAATTTTGACGAGCCTGTGATGCTTCTTGAGTTGAAGCATTTCGGTTATGAAAACGCCAAAAGAGAAGAGGGAGTGTTACAACACATCCAGAAGCATAACCAATAACCCATGTGAACAATGGAGCATGAGGGTGTTCATCCCTTGACAAAGATAAAACAACAATGGCTGCTATAATTTGGCTCACTGTAATCACTAATTCCACTGATATCCAGTAACCGGAATTCAATGGACTCCTACGCCTTCCGTTTCCATTCCCATTCCCATTCCCCCTCCTAGCAAATGATGTATTCCTTGCATTTGTGGTAGATAAAGAATGTTGCAAGACTGGAGATTGTTGATTTGTTGAAGGGAGATCTTCATTCTGTCTTAAGTTTGACCCATTGAGAGTTGAGCTAGATGATGAAGCTTCATTGCTATTTGTTGTTATATTAATCACATGCTCACATTCGGTATTGCTTTCTGTTCTCTCCATTAGTAGTGGCACTTTGCTTGTTTGAATTTTACGATGTAGCCCTGGTGTGGGAACAGGAACACCCATCTAGATGCTCCAACAAATCACAGAGTGGAGAAAACATGGGATGGCGAGATATCAAACACACACTTGTGAAACCAATCACACAATCATACTCATAAGAACTGCTCACCTGTGACTTTTGCAGTCACCCACTCAAAATGAAGTATCAAACTCAAAGGAGGAGCATCTGAAAAGATGCAAAATCTAAAGAAGATTATGTTAAAAATGAATCAGTTCTCTTAATTAATGAACAAAAGGAATCAAAATTATGCGCTAAGAAACGAACAAATTCAGCATCTACAGAAAATCGTTCAGTGTAGTCCAATTAGGCGAAACCACGAAATAGACTCGGTGCTTTACAATTGTTCAAGAACACTAAATATCTCTTAAAAATGTGCAGTGATCGAAGTTGGCAAAGAATCGCATCATTAAATCGATTAATACACCACATCTAGTATCAGAAAGTTGACCATTCCTTGTCTATCGATAGTAACGAAGTAATAGAACTCAACACGGCACTTGCATAAACTTATGAAAACGTTATTATACCTAGAAACTCAGCAATCGGATCCACAAATGAATCGATTCGCATCAAATCGCACATTTAAAACCCCAGTAAAACAACAACGAAAATTCTTGCGAATTTCAGCTGGTTTTCTCGAAATAAAAACATAATAAGTAGCATTAGTGTAGAAGAAGGAACACTAACCAGTGAGTCGGCGATTAAATTAGAACAAAATCGGAGAAATCCCGTTGCAGTGGCGAAAGTCGACGGATCAATTGATTTGATTCACAGAGTGATCAACTTTTTTGATTGTTTGAAATGATCTTTGTTCTTGTTGTTTTGTTGGCGATGGATATACCGATTATCTATTTAACGTCACCTTTGAGTTTGACCCTCCATTAGTCCATTGTGACAGTCCATCTGGACACTGTAGCATCGTCCTTGTGTCCAAATTTGGGGAAAAAAAATCCTAACTTTATATTATTTTTTCTTAACATGTATATATTTATTTTTAGTAGCATAGTTATTAACATGAACAATATATTTTATTGACAAAATTATATAAATGGCCCTATAGTTTACTAAATATCACGATTTTAGCCTCATCTAATTTTTTTGACGAACATGATCCTTGTGATTTCTAAAACTTATGTGGTTGGTCCTTATGGTTTCTAACAAATGATCGTTTTTCCCTTTTTAATTTCTTTTATCTTTTCTTTGAATAAATAAAATCTATTTATAAAGAAAAAGAAAACAAAAAATAAATAAATAGATAAATAATCAATTACCTTAATCATGTTCATCATCTTTTCCCTCATGTTTCTTTCTTTCATTCTTCTCCACCAACTACCATTCTTCTATTCTTTTCGGTAACCCCATATGAAACTAACATGTCTAAACCGCCAATAAATGTTGTCTTTCAGCATTTGTTGACAATCCATCCTCACCTTTATTTCTTTATTTCCTATCATACCACATCAACCCACATCATCTCTCTTTCCAAGCCTACCATATGAAACTTCCAAAGATCCTACAAAAACAATAAATCCTCCGACTATTCCCCCATCATTCCATTTGAAATAAAATTATCGTTCCTCAATTGATCAGAAAAGACCCATGACAACATTCTTGATATGTTTGTTGGGTGGAATCGTTGTCATGGGAGCTCCATAAGAAAGCTTGATTTTTTCCAGGAAAAAATGTTGTTGTAGGTTTGATCTAAATCCATCGACATTCAATGGTAAATTAGCAAGTTGGAATGCAATCTTATTACTATTCTTACCTGAAGCTTATTCTCCTATATAAAACACATTTCCCCTTTTGTTATCAGATTTCAGGTCATCGACCCTCATCTCTTTCTCTTCTCTAATGGTTGTTGACCAACCTACAATTTCACAAACCAATGTTAGTTATGTCATTGATGAAACCTCTCCTACAATGGATGGAGACCAGTTAAACCCAATCGTCGTTACTTGATTCATCGCTCATCAGAAAGGGTTTGGGAATTCCATGTGGTAGTTTGTAGTTATCCCAAAGGCCAACACCATCACCTTGCTGCTAAAATCAAAATTGAAATTAGATTTTCTCTAAGAGATAGGGAAGTGGAAACATCAAGAACCGACGGTCCGTGTGTGCTTGTTCTACGATCCAGAAAGAAAGAAAAGAGATAGTGAAAAGAGAGAAAAATGTGAAGGGGGTAAAGGTTGATAGAGAAGTAGGTTTGGAGGGCTAAATCTGACATTCATTTTTTTTAGTTAAAACTAATTAGAAATTATATAAGAAAAATCTAAAGGAAATTAAAAAGGGTAAAAATGTCATTTCATATGTTTTAGGACCAACCTTGTAAGGTTTAGAAACCACAAAGACCATTCCCATCAAAAGAAATTATCAAAGACTAAAGTCGTGATAGTTGATAAACCACGGGGACCATTAATGTAATTTTTTTATTTTATTTGCCATACATCATTGCTATTTGTAGAATACAACCATAATTTTTTATTCATGTTACATATCTGTATTTTTGAAATAATAATTTATGATATTAGGTTCTTTGACATTTAATAAAATAGGTAATGAAAAATTTGTTGATACATATATCGAAAAAAATATATATATTGATTTTCAAATAATTAAAATATTTTCATATTAATTTCAAACTACATACATAAATATATTTTTAAAAGACAAAGTTATTGTTAAATATGTCTGATCCTCTTAATGAACACTAACTTATTATATATCTTTGTTGTTTGCATCAAGAACCTCTATTACCTTTTTCAACATAGTTAGATGTTGTTTAACTCTCCTTATTGAATTAGTTAGATAGATTTGTGTTATGCATTGTTTGGTATTGTAAGGCATGACGACAAGTTATTGCAAGATTTCTCTTTTGTCTTCATTGATCAACTCTCCTTATTAAATAAGAGGTTATGGACTTTTTTTTCATTGTTGGTGCCTTTCCAGTTTTGTAGTTCAAGTTGGGATTTCTAAGATAAAGACAAATAGGTCTTTTTAGACTATTTGGTATGAATTTGTAATATCATTTTTCCTGGTGGGGGGGGGGAGAGAGAGAGAGAGAGAGAGAGAGAGGGAGAGAGTGTGTGTGTGTGTGTAACACTCGGTTTTAAATTTGCTTCATTGATCGGTGTTGTGACCCAATCGTTAGTTGTCATAAGGCTTAGGGACTTGGGAATGGAAGGATTTAGCCTATTTCGGAGGCGGGTGTCATGGTATTAGTGATCCAAGTGTTCGGTTGTGTCTTTGGAGGCCAAGGATATAATCGTAATTAGATATCTCAATCTTTTATGGTTTTCGAGTTTCGTTCGGGAGGTTTTAAGGTATGGGTGTGTTGTTAGGAGAGTAGGGATTCTCGCCACCTTTTCGTGGATATAAGGTTCATTGGAAACGGACCTAAGATGAGGGAGTTATGGCATTTTGAAGTTATTGACAGGTTTGGATCTAATGGAAATAGTTGGCAAATTAGTCCCGTGCATGCAAAGTGGCATGCGCGTGAGTACGCCCAACATAGCTATGGATAATGGATGCGGGTGGTCTTTAAGTACGATCAACGTACCAAGGGGTACGCGGGGTGTACTTCTTCAGCCATGAAACCCTAAATTAAGACCCTTGACCCTATTTAAACCTCATTTGTTTTATGACCCTCATCTTATATCCATCCCTCAGCCTCCTAAACCCTAGAAGACAACCTTTAGCCATATCTTGGAACATTTAAGTCATTGTGAAGGATTTTTTAGCATTTTTGTATACTTTGAAGAACTTGGAGCTTGTTGAAGAATCACCACCTGTAAAGGAGTTTGTAGATCCAAAGGTTTTCCATCTTTTGCAGTCCATTGGAAGTAAAAAGATTTGATCTTGTCTTCTCATTTCATAGATCTACCTTGGGTTGGTTTTTGGTATTTTAGTCCCTTTTTCTTGGTCTTGGTGAGATAAGGTTGCTTTAGGAAATCAATCTAGTAGATTTGGACATTGTAAGGGTCCCTCATTCATAAAGGTGAAAGCTTTATGGAGTTTTTGAGTTCATGCATGAGTTAAGACCATCCACTAAGCTCTTTTGAGTTCTAGAGTACAATTAAGCCATGCAAACTAGTAAAGTTGCCAACTTTACTTGAAAAGTCATCCATATGAATCAGAACAGAGAGTTGGAGCAAGGGGAAGTGATTAAGTGCTTATCGGAGAAGTTTGGAATCCAGGGGAGTGTGATGGGTGTACCCACCAGGTACGTTGCGCTTACTGGCCCCAAAGGGTGTACGCTTGGCGTACTAGATGAGTACATAGGGCGTACTCGGTTTGGTTGACTCATCATGTTTTGTTGACTTTTTGGACTTTGGACCTTGGACCATAAGTTAACTAGGGTTGACCATTCAATATTTCAGGCCTTTTGGATATCAGGCCTTCTTGGGATAGGTCCATGATGGATTTGGGCCTCGCGGTGTCATCTCGGGTTTGGGCTATTATTTGGGCTTGTAGATTGCTCGACCAACTGAGGATGTAGGTTTGGATTGAGAATAAGTTATTAGGATTTAGGGTAAGGCCCATTTAAGGGTTAGGCCCAATTTGGAAAATTGGGCCATTAGTGGACCTTTATGGATCTTAGAGATTTGGTTCATGTTGGGTCAGTGGTAAAATGGTCATTTTACCCCCAAGTATGGATTATGGATCATAGTTTGGAATCCAATCGCTAATTGGGTGATATTTTGGTATTGGAGCTCGGGAAGTCATCAGGGTAACAACTAAGGATCTATTTATGTGAGCTTCTGCATTCAAGGTGAGTCTCCCTTTGTAGAATACGTGGGTCGAAGGCACCAAGGCCGACCAACTTGTTACATTATAGTTTGGTGATTGTCTTTGAGACAATTATCAGTTGTGCATGTATTGTTTGATGCTTTCTGTATGATATTATGTGGTAATGGTAGGGGTGAAATAGACCCGATAT